AAAAAGGAAAAAATTAAATAAAGCTTTTTGATAAAAACCAATTTACTTATAAACTTTTTTATTAGCCGAACTATTTTTGAAAACTTTTAATGGAAAAGAAACAACATTTTATTTATCTTTGGATAAATCGCTAGGTGAGAACATTGGCAAACAGCTGATATTAGGATAACATTTTATTAAGAATGTCAAAAATAAGAAGAAAAAAGGAAAAAATTAAAAATTAAATAAAGCTTTTTGATAAAAACCAATTTACATATAAACTTTTTTATTTCCAGGACTATTTGTGGAAACTTTTAATGGAAGAGAATCAACATTTTATTTATGTTTGGATAAATCGCTAGGTGACAACATTGGCAAACAGCTAATATTAGGATAATATTTTATTAAGAATGCCAAAAATAAGATGGAAAAAGGAAAATCTTAAAAATTTAATAAAGCTTTTTGATAAAAACCAATTTACAACCAAATAACATCACTGGTTGAGTTAAGTTTAAATACTCTCCCGCTCTTTAACCTCTCAATCTCAGTGATGTGAACAAAAATAAAATATATAAAAAAACTTAAACTTCGCCCGGCAGAACAAAAGGTGAGTTTCCTCATTCCCCAAACCCTTAATCACTTATTAAAAAGAAAAGAATTATTTTATTGATTCTACCCCGCTTTCTTTCTTTTCTTTTTCCCCGCACCGCACATAATTATAATAACGCGAACGAGAGTTATTATAATTATATCAAACTTCTTGTAGATTGCTCTTTGTTTTCCCCCCGCTCTACCAGTCTACAGAAGTTTCCTCCAGTTTATTTTAATAATTGCAAACAATAAATAAAGCTTTTTCATAAAAAAATATTTCCTTATAAACTTTTTTATTTGCCGAACTATTTGTGGAAACTTTTAATGGAAAAAAAAACAACATTTTATGTATGTTTGCATAAATTGCGAAGTGACAACATTGGCAAACAGTTGATAGATATTGGGATAACATTTTATTAAGAATGCCAAAAATAAGAAGAAAAAAGGAAACATATTAAAGTTAAATAAAGCTTTTGATAAAAACAAATTTACTTATAAACTTTTTTATTTCCAGGACTATTTGTGGAAACTTTTAATGGAAGAGAAACAACATTGTATTGTATCGCTAGCGGCAACATTGGTAAACAGCTGATATTCGGATACCATTTTATTATGAATGCGAAAAACAAGAAGAAAAAAGGAAACATTTATTTCAAATCTACAGATCCTTGTGTATTTATTATTTCATAAAAGGATGTTATGCAAAATTCTTGCAAAAAATTACATCAGCCTGAAAGGCAAAGCATCAAACTTTAGGATACAATAGTAAACCTAAAGGAGGGCTTCCTTGGAGGAGGGTAGACTTTGGTTTTAAAGTAATGCGATCAAGCCGCATTTTCTTTAGAAAATTAAAAGGACAAAGTTGGAATCGATCTGAATGGAAGATAAGTATTTCGGAAGCTGTTTTGATAACCAAATCACTAGAGGTAAATCCCCATATGTTTCACTTGGCCGTGCATCTGAATAATTTCTTTACTGGCAGCAAATGAGTGATCTTCCACAAACACCTCTAATGGGCTTGATTGAGTGTATAAGCCAGTCAAATTGGCTAAAACACTAATTTACTCGGAAGTACCACCGTAAGGTAGGGGAAATCTAGTGATCGATGGTATTGATTCTCAATATAGTAAAGGATAAAGGAAACGCACAAAGCAAAAGATATAGATAGTGCTTTTGGAATCATTATTAGATTTTCAAGAGAAACAAAAAGAAAATGAAAAATGTTTTTCATTTTTTGAAATAGTTCGAGATACTATCGGTTTTATATGGAGAGGATTTAATTTTATTCCAAATCAAAGTTGACAAAGTGGAGGTAACCTGGGTTACCTGTAAAATAGAAAAAGAAACAATTATCTCTATTAAAATGCTCTTTACAAGTTACTCTTCATTAAAAACAAAAACAACAACTAAAATGTGTAGGAGACCGATTCAATTTGTTTTACAGAAAGGCTTCCCAACAGCTCCAAAGAATTGCGCACGTTTGAAAGTCTTAGAACTGCAGAATTTAATGGCAATTGGAACCTGCGGCAAGCTTAAAGTATGGAAATAGCCCAAAAGATATTTTCGGGTACATATTCATACATCCGTGGCTTTGTACCTAATTTTTAAAGAATGGCGACCTTTAATTGTGGACCTTAAAAATGGTTAGGTATTTAAGGGGAACGATGATTGTGAGAACGCTATTTAAACTTTGAAAAATAGGTTAATAAATTCTCTAGGTCTATGGCTGCCACTAGATACACTGACGCTAGCACTAAAGGCTACGGTACAGTATTACTGCAGAAGCAGAATGATAAGAAGTTTCATCCGGTATCTTCGACATAATCCAGATACCAGACTTTCAAATTATAGACAATTATGTGTCTTTATAAAAAGACTTTAAAGTCCGAGGATAGCCAAATAGAAAAGTTAAAAAATTATGATAACAATATAAGACCACGCAGAGGATAAATTATGGCTCATATCGCTGCATTATTCTACTCCCTAGAATGTATGTTAAGGCAAAAAAAAAAACATTGAACTATTACAAAACATTTTTTATTTAAACTGCTGACACATTTGCAAACAATAAATGAGGTAAATGACCAAAATAACTAATACTGCAAAAAAACAACATTTTGATTACCATGCAATTGATTACCAAGCAATTGCTTACCATGCATATTAAATTAAACACACTGAAGGAAGAAGGACAACTAGTAATCAGCAAAGAATTTCACAGGTAGAAATTAGAGAGGAGGATAATCCATAAGAGGTCATTATGAGTTCTTACGAACGCCGTTTGGGTTGAAGACACTCCCCGCGACGTTTCAGAGACTTATGGACAATGTTCTTAAGGACTACATACACAAGATCTTCTGAGTTAATTTGGATGATATTATCATCTTTTCTGCCTCTCTTCAAGAACACATTAATTCAATCAACCAGATTTTTCGCTGCTTACAAGAAGCAAACCTTAAGGTGCAATTGAACAAATCAGAATTCCTCAAAAGAGAAACTGAATTCCTTGGACATATTGTTACTCCCTTTGGAATAAAAGGGAATCCTAAGAAAATAGAATACGTAGAGAATTTCCCACTTCCGAAGACCGCCAAACAAATAAAACAATTTCTTAGACTAACAGGATACGAAATTAGGGATCATTCTCTCAATATTAGGGAATGGTTATTCTAAGGGTATCACAATGGGCCACGAGGCCTCCGAGTGAACTCGCTTGCTAGCGAGCATCCACGTAACCTACCTACCTAACAGGATATTATAGAAAATTCATCAAGGATTATTCCTTGATCGCAAAACCAATGACCAGATACTTGAAAAAGGATGCCAAGATTAACATTTCAGACCCGCAATACTTGGATAGTTTTAATACACTCAGGACTCAGCTTACGTATGATCCAATTCATAAATACCCAGATTCAGCCAATTTGCTATGCAAGTCGCACCCTTAATGAACACTAGTGTAATTACAGCACTATTGAAAAAGTATTAATAGCTATATTTCCGTCCATATCTTTTTGGACGAAAGTTCATAATTGAGACTGACCATAAACCTCTCTCGCATGGCTGTTTTCGGTTAAAGAACCAAGCTCTAAATTAGTGAGATGGAGACTCAAACTCTCCGAAATCGACTATGAATATGAGGGGAACAAAAAATGGAAATGCCGATGCATTGTCAAGAATAGAACCAGAGGCCGTTGATATCAATGCCCTGGAATCCGGGTTCGGCATAAAAGAAACAGAATTACCTATAAATATGTTTAAAAATCAAATTATTATTAGGAAGATCTCTTTTCGGGTGCGGCTAGAATTAAGAATGGGAAGATGTTTAAAAATACTAGAAAAATAATAGGAGTCAAGGAACTCGATAGAGAGACCTCAATCTCTTTGTTGAAGAATCATTTCGATTCAAGTTGCTCAGGGATGTTAAAGATGATAATGAATTAACGGAGATTATAGAAATGGAACATTTGAGTAAAAATCATAGCGGATTACAGGCTGTCTATAAAGAATTGAGAACGGAAATATACAATCCTCACTTTAGATTAAGAATAACACAATTCATCGATAATTGTGAAGTCTGCAACATTAAAAAATATGATAGGAAACCACCGAAGATACCATTTAAGATAACTGAAACCCCTTTTAAGCCTCGAGAAATTGCGCACATACATATGTCCATGTGAAGGACAAAAATTAAAAATCTCACTCCCAGATTCAGACAAAAGCGTGGAGTGATAAACGCGATAGGAAAAGGACTAAAATACGTTACGGGGACAATGGATAGCAATGGCGAAAAGGAAATATTTAACAAGATCCAGGGACTTGAGAAGGATAGGTAGGACGCAATGATGACTTTAGATGAGATTTACTATTTGAGCACTGCAATGTCGGACAAGATTTCGAACATCACCAATCATATAAATAGGCAATAGAAAGTCGTTGAAGCTTACGTGAATAGGTTCAAGACATAAGTTCAAAACAAGATCCTTGACTTAGGAGGACGAAACTATGTTTTTGCAAAACATTTTTCGAATTAATAATGATGGGAATTTGTTAATGGACCATGTGAACGAAATCGAACATGTAATCTTCAATTCTAGATTGGGAATAAGTTAGCGGTGTTCTTAATTGCAATATCAGGCAATTAATTATATAAGAACTTCATTAGAAGTAAGATTGAAAATGCTGGAACAACCATTAGAACCATTCAGTGTAAAAGAAAAAATTAAAGTAAAAAGAACTTTTCTAACAAATTTACAGCCTTTTCTTTTCAATTAAAAGATTTAAATAAAAACTTAAATATTTAACACTTACCACACACACAGCCTTTTTACATATTTGATAGTACAGATTAGAATAATAAGTCTAATACGAAATAAATGTAGAGTTAGATAATTTGAAGAGATTTCAATCTACTTTTTACTGCTTTCTCCTTATTTAATATGAATGCTATGAATGATGAACTGTGGCTGGTGTTGCGGCGGCATTAGGTGATGGTATTGAAGAGGATGTTGTTTTAGTTGGTTTACGTTTGGGAAAATCTCCTTGTGTATGTGTTTGAGAGGTTTTAGTTGTTGTTGTTGTTGTGGATGATGATGATGATGTTTTTTTAGGCAATGGAAATTCTTTTGGATTGAAATCGACCAAGGCAAGTTGTTTCTCAGGTGATGTATCAGGTAACTTGTAAATTTTTTGCAAACGTTGTTCAACAATCTGTAAATGACGCAATATATAGTCCTCGCTTGGTGCCAAGTAATAAGCATAACGTAGACACAATTGAGCTCTGGCCAAATGTTTACGTTCCACATAGACCACACACAAATTGTGTAGTCCTTGTATATTATGAGGTTCGTATTTGAGTATTGAGCGATAACAGGATTCGGCAGCATCTAAATCTTTCATATGATTAATGTAGATATCGCCCAGTAGTATAAGTCCTTTGATATGATCTGAATGATGACGTATAAGCTGATTGAGAAATGGTACTGCATCTAGTGGACGATTAGCATCTGCCAACAGGAGAGCTAAATTAAAGAGAGCACTGCGAAAGTCGGGCTTTATATGTATGGCGCGTTTGAAATATTGTTCTGCTGCCTCAAAGTCTGATTCATCCATGGCTAGCATTCCCAGATTGAAGAATACCTTTTCATTGTCACCACTTTTAGCTAAAACTTTGTGCAGGCGTTCTCTTGATAATTGACGATCCTGTTGGCCTCCCATTTCTTGCAATAATATGGCTGAATTCAATAATGCCTGCTCATGTTCTGGATATAGATCCAATGCTTTATTAAAGTAAACATTCGCCTGGGCACTTTTGCCCTGTTCCAGGAATACCACTCCTAAATTGTAATAAATATCGGCATTTTCACTATCATAAAGCAAAGCTTTCTCGTACACCTCTTGAGCCTGGGCAGTGCGATTTAATTTCATGAGTATATCTCCACGATTTATATAGGCCTGTACATAATCCGCTCTCATGCTAATAGCCTGGCGATAAAGGAAATCTGCCTCCTCTAAACGGGTCTGGTTACGAGCTATTAAATTCGCCAGATTAATAAAAACATTTAGATGATTGGGAGCTATGCGCGCCTGATAGCTTTCACCAGGTTTTATGCGTGGAAACAAAGATTTCGCCTTTAAATATGCCTTCTCCGCTTCTGCATACATTTTAAGATTATTATAAGTTCTACCCACATTAATATGCGCCCCTATATCATCAGGTTGTATAATCACCGCTTGTCGAAAATAGGCCAAAGCTTCTTCAAAGCGTCCCTCATTTTCCAAGGCGTGACCCACATTATTGAATAGCTTAGCATTGCGATCATTAACATGAACTCCACTCATAAACAAAGTATACTCATTCTTCCAATCATTATTTCTTTTATAGCTTTTAATAGAATGTGACAGCAATACCAGCAACAAAGCAGTATTTAATAAATATTTCATATTCTTGCCACTCACTTCTCGAATTCTTTCGAAGCCATATGCAATAAGTAGACAAAAGCCCATTGAGGGCATATACAAAATACGTTCGGCCACTACGAAACCCACGGGAAAGAAAAGATTTGAGGCCGGCAAAAATGGTAAAACAATCCAAGCCAAACACATGATTAGCATACGTGAATGCTGAAGACTTTGACTAATGCAAGCTTTTACCACCAGAGCCGCTAATATGCCAAATGTTATTAATGTTGCTATGTTGCGTGTATCCATGAAACCTTCAATTACGGGAACAGTACCTAGAAAAGAGAATACATAAAATATTCGTTATAAAACTACTGTTTCTAGTTTGTTTGCATAAATTACTGCATAAACCTTTTTGTGTATTTAAATTTAATTTACAAAGTGGTCTTTAAAACCACAACTTTAAACTAAAAGTCCTTTGACATATTGCCTGGCATTTAGAGTGTAATTACTTTGTACTTAATAAAATTGTGTTTTTGTGTTTTATGTTAAACCTTATTTGTGTGTGTACCGGATTATTTACATAAAGCAGATAGACGGAAAACTTTAATTGATCAAAGTGCATTTTTTACTTCTACACTAAAGGAGTTTTGAAAAGGATATTAGTAAAACTATTATTAGGGTAAAGGAATGGTGGGCAAAACTGTGTTACAGTGTATTTCTGATAAGTGTTTTCCGTGTCGGGGAGTCTTGGGACGGTGACATTACCCTTACGGACCTTTATGCCAGAATTGTTGAGCAGAAAGGACAAGTATTGACTTGACTTGAACGTGGAAGGTCTTTTGGGCTTGCAGCGTAACTCGTTTGGTGTATCCAGCGCCACTAGGAAGGTGACATTGCTTTCCCACGAAGATATTTCTCTCAGTCAGACCGTAGAGAAAACCACTCTAACTTCGCAATTCTTGACGGTGCTCCTACGACTATAATGGAATGTGTTCTACTGAAATTTGTGAACTTATTTCCGCACTTGCTATAGATTAATCCCTACTCCTATTCTTCATCGTTCTGGTTATCCAAGTCAGCTAGATGTAAACCTAGTAGACGAGACACATCCCTCGGCTGGGTTAAAAGAGATTCAGGTTCCAGCTGAGTTCGATTTGCGCTGCAGTTAAAAAAACATTGTGTGGGCCTATGCGGACAGAGATCCGTCCTGCGTTCCCTTGTCAATCAATTATTTGCACCAGAATGGAGTTCAACGAACAACGACCAATGTTAAGTAAGGGAGACAGGAAAAGAGAAAGGACTGGAACTGAAAGCCTAGGAAGTCGGCCGAGTTCGTAAATTAATCCAGAGTTCTGTCCTGCGTTCCCACGATAATTAAAGTTTATCGAACAAAGACCAACGTTATGAGACCTTAAGGTCCATTGTGTTTTCCAGTCAAAAATAGAGAAGAAGGTAAAAAAGGATAGATATAATTAACAAGTCTTTATCCCAAGAAATAAAGAGATAGGAGAGAAAATCATCGTCCCCCTATAAAGCCCAGTCGAAGAAGTGACTAATGCCCTTGACAAAATCAATAAACTGCGAGGGTCAAGACCCGCAATATCCGCACTTTCGTCGTGGAACGTATTTCCTAGCCATTTCAGCCTGAGACTCTGTATATGCTCGATCGACTCCACTTCCTCCTCATCAATCCTACTATAATCCGGTGTATTACTGTCCCACTTACTGACAAAGGCCCTAACTGAGCAGTGCCCCGTTAGCATCCCTATGAGAATGCTTAGACTGCGTCTATCCAGCCCTATGAGTGCTTCTATATCAAGTTTTGGCCATAGGCCCTTTGATACATTGCAATCCAATCTACTATTCCAGGACTGGTTTATGATGTCACTGATTCTTTCGAAAATCCGCCTGTAATAGTGACAAATGGGTGGTTTTACCATCCTTTCTCTGTCATCTATATTAAGGCTCGAACCTAATCTAGCTAGTTCGTCCTCAACCTCATTACCATGCACATTACAGTGTCCCGGCACCCTACACAATTTAATGACAAACAGTCTCATTATGTCCCTAAGGGCGTTTCCACAATCTACAACCAGAAGCGAATGTACCATGTGACGAGCCAATGCTCTGAGAGCAGGTTGACTATCAACGTTAGATAAGGCAGACAGGAAGAAAGAAAGGACTGGAATAACACTGAAGGTCAAGGAAGTCGGCCTAGTTCGTAAATTAATCGGATTCAGTTACCGAAAGAAGTATGATAGGATATCAGAATCTTCACGGCTAATTCCCCTGATATTCAAGTAGATTTATTGGGTTACATTCCGCACTTCCTAGTTTGTCCAGCAAATCTTTCCAGTTCTTTTCTAGCTATTTTAGTCCGAGACTCTATATTCTAGAACAGTGAGAAATTATGAACTTAATAGTTTCTAGCATATCAACCTCTTTGCATAACCTGCAGAAGTACGGTATGGTATTGTCCCAGTTAAAAAAGCTTTAATTGAACAATAGCCCGTTATAAGCCATATCAGAAACCTTAGGATACATCTATCCAGTCGAATATCTATATTGGTTGCTTTTGCATCAAGTCTTGGCCATATGTCCTTTGTTACTTTACAAGCCATTTTTCTGTTCCAGGACTTGTTGATAGTGTACCGGAATATTTCAAAGATAATTCTGTAATAGTGAGAAATTAGTGGTTTTACCCTACTGCCGCCTTTTCGATTTAGGTCAAGCTTCAAACCTTGTCTAGCAAGTTATTCCGCTATTCCGCTCCTAATATCACTTAGAGTATTTCTACATTGAACGACTAAGAAAGAATGCACCGTATAAAAATCAATGCTCTATTAGACGACATATCGATATCATTCCGCAACGCTTTCAGGTCGCTTTCCAGATAGCTAGAATCTCCGCCTGAATTACATTCGTTAGGGAGTCTGAAGAATTTCTTTATATCCATCCCGCAACCTAAGCCAGTTTGTATCCCGGATCTATCAGTAAACACTGCATACCCCTGAAATAGTTTATCGGATCCGAGCCAATCCTTAATACAGAAACTCTATTATATGTGTTTCCCTAAAGACTAAAGCCATTATTACAAAAATTTGTTTTACTTCGTGACTTATGGGAAGCGATTAAGATTCACGTTATTGCTCCAATGAGTTAGAGGATCTTTCATGAATAAAGTTTTAAATCAGTTAGACTATTTTATTTTATCGTGTCACTGTTGAAAACAGATGACAGAACCTCGTACGAAGAAGAATAATAAACTTTATTATGAGGTTTTGCTTTAGATTGATTTGGCAAATCGGGTTCAAATAGGTCCCGTAAAATCAATCCTTATTACTAGAATATTAAGAAAAACCTTCTTCACGGGGTGAGTAAAATAACATTAAAATCCGACTTTATGCAATTGGCGTATGATCATACATTCCGTATTAAAATTCTATTACTACTGAGGAAATTCAATATATCCGTAGACAAACACTTAGGATTATATAAGAAAACTAAACTATATTGTTGTTCTTGTAACAGATTGGATAGGACTAGACGTTCTTTCCTGAGGAAAAAACTTCCGGTTGATGCAGCTGTTGCTGTGTTGACAATCTTTGGCCGATTAGGAATCGGTTCATTCCGGAGCGGAAATACATTTGGGAACGATGAAGGGGATAGTATCCTTTTATTACAAACATATGATTTATAAAGATCAAGGTATTTAGTTCTCAAAATTCTCCATTATGTCAAACTTCCAACTCAATTTACTCTTTTGCTGATGACAGCAATATCTGCCATTCATTTCAATTATAGGTCAAACCCTCTAGACAATGGGGCAGTGAGGCGCAATATGAATGAAATGCTCCATCACGATTTGATGGGGTCGTGTTAACAGAGTCGATTTTAGCCCTCAAAACTCAATAATCGCATGGCAGATAATGTTGGTCCATTTATATTTACATATATGTGGTGTAAATAGTAAGGAATCAGAAACTCAGTGCGATGCCGGTTATACTCGGCTTTTTGAAACGGTCTGATCAATCTGATCTTCTTACTTTTTACACCACTTACATATATCCGACCGAAAATGGAATATAACACTCATGTATGGGCCGGAGCTTGGAAGTCTATTTTGGACCTACTTGACCGCTTACAAGAGAGGGTGAAAGTAGAGTATCTAACTCTATTGATTGTATTTCACTGTTCTATAGATACTATAACGGAATATGTTCCTCTGATATTAGGGAACTCGTTCCCGATACCCGTATATTTTTACGCAGCACACAACTCTCATCAATAAAACACCCATTTATGGTCGATTGGCCGGTGGACTGCACAACACATTACAGGGAAAATTCATTCTTCAGCCGCTCTGTTAGTATATGGAACAAACTGAAGAAGTATTCGCCGCCACTTTCGATGTACAAGGGTTTAAATCAACTGTCCACAAACACTACTATGTACCTCTATCCTCCCTCCCACAAACTATTTTCCTAGTTCCAGCACAATACACTGCATGAAAAAAACACAGTGAGACTCCACCAGATCATTTCCACATTAGAAAAACAACTTTTCTCAAATGAAATCTGGACACAATGTAGTATTATTCTTGAAATTGAAACATTTTTGGAATTGTAGTTTATGTATCAACTTTTAATGGACTTATGTTTGATGAATCGAGGACACCTCCATAATTTATAAAATTTTAATAAACATTTATATACACAAAAACATTTACCTTAAGGTATAAGGCCAGGAATGCCTTATATAATTGAGCAAAAACAGTAATCTCCATTTTTTCCATAAACCAAAGAAAAAACTTGGTAGCGTCTTGGTCTATATAGATTTAGTTCAAACTTCAATTATTTCATTTATTTTTTGAAAATAAAAGGATATACGAATTCTTCGTAAGATAGTTTATTTAAAAAAAAGTTAAAAATGGATATTACTGCCTTTGCTTCTATACCTTTATGTTCTTAATTTATAGCTTTTAATTCACAATTGCATTTTTCTTACTCACCCATAGTCCAGTCGCAACATAAATCACAGGGAAATAAGAGTAGCCAAGAATTTAAATAAATTAAATAACTGTAGGTTAGTTGACGGGCCGGAGATTCAGCGGCAGATGCAGGATTATCGAAACGTGTAAATACCGGCAATTGAGAGCCCATAACATAGACTCGACCCACTAACAGGCAGACAGTGATGAAAATTAAAAATCCTAAACGTTTCAATAGAGACGATGACCATTGTATAGGAGTTGTAAATCTACTGGTAGCAGAAGTTTTCAACGTTAATAATCCCGACGATGATGGTGATGATGCACCCACGACAGACGAAGTAGCACTGGCTTGTAATAGTTTTGAGATGGCTGCTTTATTTGTTGGTGACGGTGTTTGATTTGACGATGCTGGTCTTTCTTCGAAGAGATTTAACAGTGTATACCACAATTGCAAAGGATGTATAGTTTGCACCACGAACAGTTCGTAGGTTACACAAATGCCAGCGATAGTTATGCCTTGTTCTTTGCACAGCATCGATGCTAATAAACACAAACTAAAGTTGATGCACAATTGAAACCATTGCGTTTTAAGTTTTTGGGATTTTTTTGCAGCATTCAAGCTGCTACTAACAGCTCGAGAGTAGGCCAGAAATGCACCGAGAAAGAAGAGTGATGACAATAATTCAGCACGTCCTACAACTCCCGTAACAGCTTCTGTGTGTATGGGATGCACTGCAAACAGTAGAGTGCTGAAGAATGAGCATTTTACAGCCAAACTTTCGCGTTGAGTACACTGCAGTACCAGAAGGCGACTGACACGTTTCCATAGCAGACAGACTGCAAGATGCAGCACAACATTAATGGCATGATAACCATATGATTCCAATTCATGCAGCCAGTAATTAAAACGAAACGTGAGCACAGTCAGGGGACGATATGATTTGTGAGAGTGTTCTTTGCGCATCGGCGTTCCCCAAAAGTCATTGAGAAATATGTTTTTTAGCGGAGTCGTTGGTCTCAAATCCTTGTTATCTCGTATGGCGCTGATATCATCAAAGACTAGACCGCATTGTGTTGAATTGTAATAGGACAACAAACACAGGCAAAAGATGGAAAGTAATTGAAAGAGATTTGTCGATGTAAATGAAAAGTTGGCCAAGGAAGAGGGTGTGAAATGTTTCAACGTGTTTGAGGTTTTAAAGTTGTTCGAGGTGCTGTTGGCCGAAGAGACGTTAGGGACAGAATTTGAGGCAGAAACGGTTGTTGTAGAAGAGTATGAAGTGTTAATTTCACGAGCTGTAGTAAAGGACGTTGCATTACTGCTGCTGCCGCCTGTGGCGCTATTGCCATTGCTACTGCTATTTTGGCCATTGTTATTGTTTATACCATTTGTATGTATAACTGAAGCCGTCATATTGTAGGATACAGATTTTTCCTGTAGTTTTTTTTTCCGAGCTTCTTTTTTGGCTTTTTTATATTCTGGTTTTTTTAGTTTTCGTAAATGTTTGTTACTTTTTCGTGTTTATGTCTTATTACTTTGCATTAATATTGAACTTTTGACATGATTACTATTTCTTTCCCACGTACACGCCTTGCCGGTAATCGTTCGTTAGCAAAATTATTTTTTGGCCAAATTTCAAGTTTATTTTATTCTTCTGCTGTTATTGTAGGTTATTTAAAATTTTTAATTTATACAATTTTCTATATTGACCTTCAAAACTAAAGATAAGTTTTTCACTTTTTTTTAACTTTCTTTAAGCGGTTCCTTTCTTCTGCTGGTATGTGTTTTAAGTTGTTTTTCTTTTCAGAGCTGCTTAAATTTGGAAGTGAAACCTTTTGCTTGTTATATTTTTTAACAATTATTTAATGAGGCTTTAAGTTTGAGATCTTTTGCTTAGTTATGTTTTAAAAAAAATTGAGTTGCTTGAGATTTACGTGTTGTTTTAATCAGGTATTTTAAATACGTTTTTTTTTCTATTCGTTTTTATTAATTTATGTTGTTTAATAAAGATGGAATGTTTAGCTTTTTAGTTTTATCCTGAGAGATGTTTTATATTTTCATTTTAATTTTATATTTATGTTTAGCAAGTCCTTTAGAAGGAGTTTGTTCAGGTTTTCAAATGTTACAGGTTTTTATTGATACAAATGTTCGTATATAACTGTTTCTAAAGCCTTTCGAGTTTTTATTAATATTTCTATTTAATTGTTTATTGCATTATTTTCTTGTTGTTGCTGTTGTGTAGAGAGAGGTCTGTCCTTATAAATGCATTTATTTGTTATGATAATTTGATTACATAACTATTAGCTTGAATTTTTTAAAACTAAAATTGTTTTATTTAAATGCATATTTTCGATCTGGATATTCCGTAGATATCTAAAAAGAAGGAAGGAAAATAAGTTTAAATTAAATAATTTTATAATATAGAATGAATGGCGAGTAATAAACTAGTCACAGGATATTCAAGTGGTAGACAAGTTCATAGACTATTCATACACTAGCCAATAAATCAAACAATTAATGGGTCAGACAATAACATAACCAACCAACATAACAATATTTAATAGACTAATCCTTGGACGTATAAATAGACAAGTCGACAACTAGTCCATAATACAGTCAATATACAAGCCCGTAGACTACTCAATAGACTAGTAAATGGATAAGTTCATAGGCTGAGCTATGGACTAAACTATACACTAAACTATATACTAAACTATAGATTAGACTTAGACTAGACTATAGCATAAGACTAGACTATAGACCTAGACTATAGACATACTATAACCTTGACTATAAGGCTAGAATATAGACTAGACATAGCTATATATAGACTAGACTAGAGGCAGACTAATATACTAGACTATAGACTAGACTATAGACTAGATATAGACTGACTCTAGACTAGACTTTAGACTAGACTCTATACTAGACTATAGACTATACTAAGACTAGACTATAAGACTAGAACTATAGACGAGACTATAGACTAGACTATATCTAGACTAGACTAGACTGACTAGACTAGACTAGAACTATAGACTATACTATACTAGACTATAGACTAGCTAGACCTATAGACTAGACTAACATAGACTAGACTAGACATAAGACTAGACTAAAGACTAGACTATAACTAGACTATAGACTAGACTATAGACTAGACTATAGACTAGACTATAGACTAGACTATAGACTAGACTATAGACTAGACTATAGACTAGACTATAGACTAGACTATAGACTAGACTATAGACTAGACTATAGACTAGACTATAGACTAGACTATAGACTAGACTATAGACTAGACTATAGACTAGACTATAGACTAGACTATAGACTAGACTATAGACTAGACTATAGACTAGACTATAGACTAGACTATAGACTAGACTATAGACTAGACTATAGACTAGACTATAGACTAGACTATAGACTAGACTATAGACTAGACTATAGACTAGACTATAGACTAGACTATAGACTAGACTATAGACTAGACTATAGACTAGACTATAGACTAGACTATAGACTAGACTATAGACTAGACTATAGACTAGACTATAGACTAGACTATAGACTAGACTATAGACTAGACTATAGACTAGACTATAGACTCGACTATAGACTCGACTATAGACTAGACTATAGACTAGACTATAGACTAGACTATAGACTAGACTAGACTATAGACTAGACTATAGACTAGACTATAGACTAGACTATAGACTCGACTATAGACTCGACTATAGACTAGACTATAGACTAGACTATAGACTAGACTATAGACTCGACTATAGACTCGACTATAGACTAGACTATAGACTAGACTATAGACTAGACTATAGACTAGACTATAGACTATACTATAGACTAGACTATAGACTAGACTATAGACTAGACTATAGACTAGACTATAGACTATACTATAGACTAGACTATAGACTAGACTATAGACTAGACTATAGACTAGACTATAGACTAGACTATAGACTAGACTATAGACTAGACTATAGACTAGACTATAGACTAGACTATAGACTAGACTATAGACTAGACTATAGACTAGACTATAGACTAGACTATAGACTAGACTATAGACTCGACTATAGACTCGACTATAGACTCGACTATAGACTAGACTATAGACTAGACTATAGACTAGACTATAGACTAGACTATAGACTCGACTATAGACTCGACTATAGACTCGACTATAGACTAGACTATAGACTAGACTATAGACTAGACTAGACTATAGACTAGACTATAGACTATACTATAGACTAGACTATAGACTAGACTATAGACTAGACTATAGACTAGACTATAGACTATACTATAGACTAGACTATAGACTAGACTATAGACTAGACTATAGACTAGACTATAGACTAGACTATAGACTAGACTATAGACTAGACTATAGACTAGACTATAGACTAGACTATAGACTAGACTATAGACTAGACTATAGACTAGACTATAGACTAGACTATAGACTAGACTGTAGACTAGACTATAGACTAGACTATAGACTAGACTATAGACTAGACTATAGACTAGACTATAGACTAGACTGTAGACTAGACTATAGACTAGACTATAGACTAGACTATAGACTAGACTATAGACTAGACTATAGACTAGACTATAGACTAGACTATAGACTAGACTATAGACTAGACTATAGACTAGACTATAGACTAACTATAGACTAGACTATAGACTAGACTATAGACTAGACTATAGACTAGACTATAGACTAGACTATAGACTAGACTATAGACTAGACTATAGACTAGACTATAGACTAGACTATAGACTAGACTATAGACTAGACTATAGACTAGACTATAGACTAGACTATAGACTAGACTATAGACTAGACTATAGACTAGACTATAGACTAGACTATAGACTAGACTATAGACTAGACTATAGACTAGACTATAGACTAGACTATAGACTAGACTATAGACTAGACTATAGACTAGACTATAGACTAGACTATAGACTAGACTATAGACTAGACTATAGACTAGACTATAGACTAGACTATAGACTAGACTATAGACTAGACTATAGACTAGACTATAGACTAGACTATAGACTAGACTATAGACTAGACTATAGACTAGACTATAGACTAGACTATAGACTAGACTATAGACTAGACTATAGACTAGACTATAGACTAGACTATAGACTAGACTATAGACTAGACTATAGACTAGACTATAGACTAGACTATAGACTAGACTATAGACTAGACTATAGACTAGACTATAGACTCGACTATAGACTCGACTATAGACTAGACTATAGACTAGACTATAGACTAGACTATAGACTAGACTATAGACTAGACTATAGACTAGACTATAGACTAGACTAGACTAGACTCGACTATAGACTCGACTATAGACTAGACTATAGACTAGACTATAGACTAGACTATAGACTCGACTATAGACTCGACTATAGACTAGACTATAGACTAGACTATAGACTAGACTATAGACTAGACTATAGACTATACTATAGACTAGACTATAGACTAGACTATAGACTAGACTATAGACTAGACTATAGACTATACTATAGACTAGACTATAGACTAGACTATAGACTAGACTATAGACTAGACTATAGACTAGACTATAGACTAGACTATAGACTAGACTATAGACTAGACTATAGACTAGACTATAGACTAGACTATAGACTAGACTATAGACTAGACTATAGACTAGACTATAGACTAGACTATAGACTCGACTATAGACTCGACTATAGACTCGACTATAGACTAGACTATAGACTAGACTATAGACTAGACTATAGACTCGACTATAGACTCGACTATAGACTCGACTATAGACTAGACTATAGACTAGACTATAGACTAGACTATAGACTAGACTATAGACTATACTATAGACTAGACTATAGACTAGACTATAGACTAGACTATAGACTAGACTATAGACTATACTATAGACTAGACTATAGACTAGACTATAGACTAGACTATAGACTAGACTATAGACTAGACTATAGACTAGACTATAGACTAGACTATAGACTAGACTATAGACTAGACTATAGACTAGACTATAGACTAGACTATAGACTAGACTATAGACTAGACTATAGACTAGACTGTAGACTAGACTATAGACTAGACTATAGACTAGACTATAGACTAGACTATAGACTAGACTATAGACTAGACTGTAGACTAGACTATAGACTAGACTATAGACTAGACTATAGACTAGACTATAGACTAGACTATAGACTAGACTATAGACTAGACTATAGACTAGACTATAGACTAGACTATAGACTAGACTATAGACTAACTATAGACTAGACTATAGACTAGACTATAGACTAGACTATAGACTAGACTATAGACTAGACTATAGACTAGACTATAGACTAGACTATAGACTAGACTATAGACTAGACTATAGACTAGACTATAGACTAGACTATAGACTAGACTATAGACTAGACTATAGACTAGACTATAGACTAGACTATAGACTAGACTATAGACTAGACTATAGACTAGACTAGACTAGACTATAGACTAGACTATAGACTAGACTAAGACTAGACTATAGACTAGACTATAGACTAGACTATAGACTAGACTATAGACTAGACTATAGACTAGACTATAGACTAGACTATAGACTCGACTATAGACTAGACTATAGACTAGACTATAGACTAGACTATAGACTAGACTATAGACTAGACTAGACTAGACTAGACTAGGACTATAGACTAGACTATAGACTAGACTATAGACTAGACTATAGACTAGACTATAGACTAGACTATAGACTAGACTATAGACTAGACTATAGACTAGACTATAGACTAGACTATAGACTAGACTATAGACTAGACTATAGACTAGACTATAGAACTAGACTATAGACTAGACTATAGGACTAGACTATAGACTAGAACTATAGACTAGACTATAGACTAGACTATAGACTAGACTATAGACTAGACTATAGACTAGACTATAGACTAGACTATAGACTAGACTATAGACTAGACTATAGACTAGACTATAGACTAGACTATAGACTAGACTATAGACTAGACTATAGACTAGACTATAGACTAGACTATAGACTAGACTATAGACTAGACTATAGACTAGACTATAGACTAGACTATAGACTAGACTATAGACTAGACTATAGACTAGACTATAGACTAGACTATAGACTAGACTATAGACTAGACTATAGACTAGACTATAGACTAGACTATAGACTAGACTATAGACTAGACTATAGACTAGACTATAGACTAGACTATAGACTAGACTATAGACTAGACTA